TTAAAATTAGATTGTTAGTTTTATTTGTAGTCAGAAATGTTGACAAATCTTAACATTTACTTTTGACACATTGTACACATGATTGTATAATGGCTTGTTCACTTAAGGGCATGCTTTCCAAATAAAATATTGGTAAATAATATAGGCAAAGTTAAGTAAGAGTCCACTTCAATAGCAATACCTAGATGTTTGTAACACATCAAAATTTTTAAGCCCCTTTATACACATAATTTAAAAGTCATCTTATTTATTTGTTGAGTTTTTAATCATTACCAGACATCAGTTGTAAATAGTATTAAAATTGGCTGCAAGAAATAAACTCCTTGAGGATAATATCCAGAAAACTATATTATCTTTGTCTTCTTTAACTTTCTAAACTCAACTTGTGCTAATTCTGTGCACAATATTTACTAAAATGTGCAATATTTGCTCCATATTTACTAAAGCGTTGTCTTAAAGGTAATCATAAATGACTGAAAATCTTTACAGTCATACAGTTAAGTGTCAAGCCAATCCTTAGAAAAAGAAGGAACTTTAGGCTAAAACATAAATGTTTCAATTTTCTAGAAATTTCATTCTGTATCAGTTTGTACAAATTCCATTGCCTCAAACTTTTTGATCCCCATTCATCTTATAGTCTAAAAAATAGTTTTAAAGATGCTAAAGCAATTTTGTCAGCCCATCTTCTATTTTGCTTTGTTATAGTCAATTTTTCTCTTCTCAGATAAGGTCAAGCGTTAGTCTGGTGATCTTTCTGAAGTAGTAATGCCTGCTCAATGTGTACTACTATAGCAGTATTTTCATAGTTATTACCTCTTGACATAACCCAATCATTTAAAGTCATGAATATCAAATTCTAGCTCCTAAGTCAACTGATTTGTCTCAATGAATCCCCTACATTTATTAAAACTAAAGATATCCTAATCACATCAACAAAACATTTAACCATTTTTCTTCTTAAATGTTTAGCTCTTGTAGTGTAGATTCTGTCTGGAAGGTCTAGAAATAGCCAACTATAGTTGAAATACAAGACCAAAACTTAGCCACTGTTGAAAAAGAACAAAAATGCCCCATTTTATTTTAAATAAAAATTTAAAGACTTCAATATACAAATAATGTGAACTTGAAAAATAGAAAATATTTCTGAATCCAAATGTCCTTTTTGAAAGTAAGTGGCAGTATTAAACATCACTTTTCTATATGTGGTGTGACATTTCACTTTGTTCCAAGACATTTTACTTTTTGTATGACTCTGGAGTTTGCGAACATGCCATAATATTTGGTGATTATATAATGATGATTTCACAGTTCTAGCTTAGTATGAAGGTGGCAGAAAAAGCAGCATAATCAATTTCTTTTTTACCTTTGTGGAAAGAGACAAAAGGAAATTGAATGCAAAGTTTGCATTAAGACCATAGTGAAATCATAACTCAACAATCTGTTACAGATTAAGGGAAAACCAGGTGTAGCTAGGTGTTAGTTATGGTGCCATGATATTCAAACAATGGGTTAACTTCAAAAAACTTTTGTTTAACCCATGCCTTTCTTTGTTACCCACAGTGTTCCCAATGCATATGACCTGATGCTGTCTCTTGTCTCCTCTTGCCAAAGGTACTCACAGGCAGGACTGTCCCTGGACAAAGTAGTGAAGCGGGTGAATCTTGTATTCATCCCCTACCCTTGGCAATGACAATTTTGCCTTAGATTTTCTCCACCCGCCTCTCCCCAGGTTCCTATTCCAGTTGCTCATTGCTCTGGATTTGCCCCGTTCTCCAGAGGGTTCATGCTGTCTCCTGTTGTTCCCCAGTCCCGGTTTGATTGTATAATCTCTTTGCTCCAAAATATTCAGGAGTTCCCCAAGAGGAGCTGGGCAGTCAAGATCATCCCTCTTTACCTTTTGGGTCTCATTTCCCATTCTCCCCTCCACATGATCTACTCCAAGCTGATCACTCACCTTGCCATTTCATTCCTTTTGTCTCAGCTGGCTTTCACCTCTCATCTCCATCTATGAGATCCTACTCACCTTTCAAGACTCCACCCAGCTGTACCACCTCATTGTGCCTTCCTTGGTCACCCCCAACCTCTTTCCTCTGCATCCATGCCACTCATAAGGCACGTAACACATATTGCTTTGTGTTATAATATTTATATATGTGTCTAATCTCCAGGCATTTTGCTGGGTGCTTTACAGACGTAACCTCTTTTAAATTTCACAATTCGATGAGGTAGGTACTATTAGTCTCCAGGAAACTGAGGCTCAAATCAGTTAAATGATTTGGCCAAAGTCACACTGCTATAAAGAAGCAGAGCTAAGACTTGAATGCGGCCTGTCTGACTCCAAAATATATGCGCTTTTCACTGGACTGTATTGTCTTCTACTCAATTCTTTTCCATTTTCGGAAAGATAGGATGGGGACTTAAGATAGAGAATAAGATCAGTTTAGGTTTTTTGCTTAACAAGTATGTATTGGACAAAGACAGAGTTTATTGAGAATTACTATATTTTTAGCTAGAATTGATCTGTCAACTAGAGTCCATGAGGAATTCAGATAAAATGCAAGAAAAAAATCTTTACCTAAAGTGGTCAGGACAAATAAACATGGCATAAAAAGAGAATTTTCAAAACTGTGTAATTCAAGAAGAGCTGGATAGTATTAGTCTCTTTCTAAACACTATATGAAAATAAATACAGGGAAAAGAAGAAAATGTGGGTTGACTAGGGGAGGCTTCCTGTAAGGCGGCAGGATTTAAACAATTTGAAGTAATTAGAAAGCTGAAGATAAATCATCCTAAATCTCTCACAAATGAACAATATCTCTGTTGAATGTAAAGCCCACTTTTTTCATCCTGCCTCCAGTGTTACACCTTGGATAAGTTAGGTGAGAGAAGCTAAGTGGTCTGAAGAGGGAAATCTCATCCCAAAGGGGTGCCCAATACCCACCACCACAGAGTTTCAGCTCAGGCCTGGCCAGCTCCAAACTGAGAAGTTTTCAGCCTAGGACCAGCTTCCCACCAGTCACGTGGCAGATGCCCCAGTTCTGGGAAGAATTTAGAGTTAGGATCTCTATTCATTTTGACACCACTACCTTTTTGCCTCTCTCAAGGTGAAAAAGAAAAGCCTTTCTTCATTTCTGTTGTTTTATTCTCTTCTCATTTCCCGATTTCTCAGCTTGTCATGTTATCATGTGCTTATTTCTTTAACATGAGTGAGATCATTACATTTAGAGAGGGTATGCAGTATTCATTAAACGTGTTCTCAGGGCGCCTCAGTTAACTTCTGATGTCATCTCAATTTTGTTTACAAATTCCATTTCAATTTTTGTATGCTCTCTTGATGCCAATTCCATTCATATATGGCTCTACACTTTTGTTCCTCATACCAATCTTCATAGCAATTTAAGTTATTATTTAGGGAATATAATGCATGGGATCTAAGCTTGAATATAGTAGGCCACACTGTATGCATGTCAGTTTAGGAATCTTGAGAAGTTTCATTCAGTTGTATGCTAATGCCAAGAAATTCAACAAGCCCAACTGGAAAACCACCTTCAACCACACTGGAAAAAGAAAAAAACTCAAACATGAAAGCTGTTTTTTGTTTTTGTTTTTGTTTTTTCTTTAAAATGTCTATGGTTTCTCTTATCCTCTACAAAATTCCTCAAAGCTCATTCACTTTTTTCCCTTTTATTTTTAGGTAATTATAGAGTCACAGGAAGTTAAAAACAAGTATGTTCAGGAAGGTCCTGTATACCTTTATACAAGATTCTCCCAACTGTTACATTTTATATAATTATATACTGTCAAAGTCAAGAGATTGATATTGGTCTAATTTGCTTTTACATTTGAAAAACAACAACAACAACTATACTAAAGACAAACTGGGCAGTTTTAAATTCTATTCTACATTTTGTTTCTGCTTAAAAGCGATAACTATGCTGATGGTCCTGCTAAACAAAGGCTGATATGTCCATATGGCTGCAGAAAAATTACTCAAAAATTATTCTACATTGTTAGAGATGATATTCGGGTCTCATTGAAATCTTAGGCCAATGTCATAGCAGAAGAGTGCAAAGAAGTTCACATGAAATGATTTGGGTTGAAATCTGGTTCTGCCTCCAAATGTGTGACCTTGAGCAATTCACTTGACCTTTCCAAGTTTCAGTGTCTCGATCTTCAAAATGGAGGGAAATATTTTCCCTGCTTACCTCACAGGGTTGTTGTGACGATCTTGTGTGATGATACATGTGAAGGGACGAAGTAGACTGTGAATCAGCCATCATAAAATTTTTATTATTTTCTGAAACTACCACCAGTAATAGAAGACTAATTTTTCAGAGGTAGTCTTATTCTTAGAAATGAAACAAAATTATCTTCTTATTAGCCACATGGCCTAGAATTTCCACCAAGTGTAAATGACCTCCCTTTCTACTACTCTTTGTAGGACCGGCACTAGCAATATATTGAACAAGCACTCGGACTCATCCCCTACGTTTTATTAAGTTATCAGTTCAGACGTTTATTTGTTCAGTCATTCAACAACCCCTGAAGAATATGATTTATTTTGAAATAAATAGTTCTTAACATGTTCTCCTATAAGGCTGAATGTATCTTAAGTAGCTTTTATTTTCATCCTGACTGTAGGATTCATTCTTGTTTTTCATGCCATGAGATGTACAATAGATACTCTTGACGTGTAGTGAGGAATTATAAGGATTCTAGATTAGACAGCAGATGGTTTATGAAGTAAACATGGAAATCATCCAAGCTGCCTTGTTCCTTATTTTGTCTGGATAGATAATAAACCTCTCAACTCATTGGTGGAGTCTTGTATGTGGGTAGTAAAAATGCTAGTCTTGGCAGTAAGGGCAGAGAAATATATAGGAGAAAATACATTTAAATCATGGAAAGTAAAGATGAAAGTCTTTGTGTGTACTAAATGTTTTGGCCACCACAATAAAAATGTTAAGATGTGTTTTCTTCCCTCTCCCCACTGTACACAGGCTGGCATGGCTCTGACCTATGACCCCACAGCTGCCATACAGAATGGGTAAGTAGCCTACATTTTCTCTATATTACTGCAAAGAGATCTCTGAGCTCAAATCGGTATTGAAGAAAAGGGTTCAAATATGTTTTGTTTCTTTAAACACAAACTTTAAACCAAGTGTTTCTTATCACTGTAATTTTTTTTCTTCCCATATATGATCACAATGCCTCTGCCCATATTAAACCCACCCCCGCTGTCTCTCCCTCTCTCTCCTCCTCACACCCTATCATTCTCTCACTTTAATATGGATAAAGCTAGGCTGGTAGAATTATCTGTATATCTCCAGGACAAGTATGTTGCCCCTAAGAATAACTCTAGAATTTAGCTTTCAATAATTTTTAGTATGTTCTAAGTCAATATTTACATTAATAATGCATTTACTTTTTTCCTTTTAGTAGTCAGGGGATGGGCAGTGAATGAAAGTCAAATTGATAACTCAGGTGATTGGGTCTTCATTCTTCCTTTTAATAAGCATCTGGAAATTTGTAGCCTCTTACTTAAAACAAGTCACACAGCTTCAAATTCCTCTTCTGAAAAATAAGACTGTTAAGCTACATGGTCTGGCCTCTCCAAAATTCCGTGGATTCTGAATATCTTTGGTTGAATAGTTCTTCTTACTTAATCTCTCTCTCTCTCTCTCTGTGTCTCTCTCTCTCTCTCTCTCTCTCTCTCTCTCTCTGCTTTGGCTGTCTTGCAGTGCACAATAATTTGCTGGGCTGCTTGTTTTAGTTTTTCACCCTTTTATTTTGAATTTCTCCATGGATTTCAATTGTCTGACTTTCAGTTTTATTAAAGAATCAGTCATGATAAAGGCCTTACAAACCTTATTCACACTGATTTAAATGAATTAAACTCCAGTTTCTATTTGATCAGTATCCACTAATGAAAATCCGTGATATGTTGAAAATGTTCAAATAATTACCTTTTTAAAAAGTTATTAATTCAGACATTTATTCATTCAGTCATTCAACAAACATCCAGTAAGTCTCCAGGCAGTGTTAAGTTCTTAGATTTTTTTTAAAAATATGATAAAAACCTTTTCCCTCAAGAAGCTTACAGTTTATTCTTCCATAAAAATGTAAACAATGGTGAAAAACTAGGATAGGAGTCTAATCCTTTGTCTTTGGTTTATTTAAACTCCCTCTAGGACTGAAAAAACATCTTTTAATTTATCCATTAAGCATTTGCTTATTTCCAGTAAGGTACTATAAACTTGGTGGTTAGAAAGAAGTAAAGGCATGGAGAAGAACGTCTTCTCGAATCATATTGTCATATAGCTTGTCTATGACTCTAAATAGGTAAATTAGTTAACTTAAAAGGTCAAAAAATAAGGGACTATGTGGTGACAGCAACAGAGAATAGATACTATAATGGAACAAATGGCATTTATTGAACACACACTATGTATGAAGTACTTTATATTTGTAAATTAATGGCACATGGTTTTAGATTCAAATCAATACATGAGTTTACACCTAAAAATTTATTTTAAAAATTTACATATAGCCAGACGTGATGGCTCATGCTGTAATCTCAGCACTTTGTGAGGCAGAGGTAAGAAGATTGCCTGAGTCCAGGGATTCAAGTCCAGCCTGGACAACTCAGTGAAACCTTGTCTCTACAATAAATCAAAAAGTTGGCTGGGCATGGTGGTGCGTGACTGTGGTTCCAGCTACTTGGAAGGCTGAGGTGGAAGGAACACATGAGCCCAGCAAGTTGAGGCTATGGTGGCTGTGAGTGTGCTACTGCACTCCAGCCTGGGTGACAAAGTGAGACTCCCACTCAAAAAATAAAAAAAATGTACACCCTGGAAAATAGAAATAGTAGTTTAATCAACATCTATATGTCCACTAATTAGATTTATGCTAATATTTTATATTTACATGCTCGCATGTATATGTGTGTATTATGTACATTTATCTACCGATCTATATGTCTATATATTTACTTATAAAAAGTACCTTGTTGCTGCTATGTGAAGCAATGAAGATGAAACAGTGATCCAGACATGTCTTGTTTTTTGCATTTATAGAGCTTATATTATTAAAGATAGAAATAAAATAACCTTTGATTTTTAGACATAATTATATAATAAATTATTAAATGAGAATTTTGTTAAGCATGCGTTAAATAAATAGATTTTTTTTGCTAGACCATATAAAAATTTAGACATCAAAATACTTTACTTCTAAATTCTTAAATCTGCAGAAATAAGGACATTAGTCCCATGTTGACAATATCATTATCACATAAAATAAAATCAACACTAATTTCAACCTATTACCTATAATCCAGATCATTTTTCAACTCTGTTCAAGTGTGCCCATAAGGTAATTTATAGTTGGTTGATTCTGAAGCAAAATCAAAAGTAATATCAAAATGCCTTATATGGGTTATTTTATTTATTAATGATATTCCTTTTGAGTGAGTACTAATATTCCCATTTTAAAGATAAGAAAACGAGGCCATTCAGTCAGAGGTAGGGCTGGGAGTCAGATACCCACCTATGATTCGAAATAGAGCCTGCTGTCTTGTCCAGCTAGGATAAAGGAAAGTCTTTATGGAAGCAATGAGTTTTGACATAGGTTATCAGACTGGACTTAGTTTATCAAGGATAGATATAGAGAAAGATGGTTTTTGAGAACGTGAACTGGTATGAATGAAGATAAGGTTTGCAAGGATTAACAAATCAACAGGTTTTACTGGGGTGAAAGCTTCTTGTGAAGGAGTTTTGTAACTTTAGATAGTTTTGTTAGTACCAGATTTGGAAGGCTAAAGGATTTGGTTTTTAAGCCTGGGGAGTAATTTTTTTTTTTTTTTTTTTACAAAATAATGATATGAGATAAATGACGAAGCATAGATTGGATCAGGAAGATCCTCTAAGTGGAAGCACCATTAAAAGAAGGTTAGAATAGTCCAGATATAAAAGTTTAAGAGTTTGTTCTAGAGGGGTCAGCGTATGACTAGAAGAATGGAAGAGGGGGAACAGAGAAGCGACAACCTGAAGGAACTATTTATGCATTTTTAAAAAAGTAGCCAAATAATCCCGTTTTCAGGGCTCTCCATCAAGCATTGGGGACAAAATGTTGAATAAGACAGATCCAGTCTGTACTCTTCTACCCTGTAGCAATAGAAATTGACATTAGAATGTTTTCATTATTTATATACAACAAGCACTTAATGGTGAATTTCAGGGTGATATGAAGAGTCTGATCTTAATTTGGGTGGTTAGATAAATCTTCTCTGAAAAAGTGATGCCTTGTGCTGAGTATTCTGACAATATTTAATGACTGACAGGAAGTTATATTTGATGGAAAAAGAGAGAAACAAAAGGGACTCTGAAATTTTAATCCTGGAAAAACTGATGGTGCCATTAGCAGAAAAATAAGGGAATAAAGTGAAGAAAGATGATATGTTCAATTTCAAACATGCCTGATTCACTGAGACAGAAAAGATCAAGCGTCAACTATAAACATAGAACTGGTGTTAGGGAATGATACCCTTTTATGCACGGATTTCATCAGTCATTTTTCAATGCACAATTTTAAATTATCTAAAGATATAATAAGTACTCGCCGTATTCATTACAAACCTACAGAGAAAAAAATTTTGATGTTTCTGTTTTTAATCTGAGCAGTCAAAGGTAAACTTTGGGCGGTGCCATGTTCAAGATTGTGAGGACTGCCTAGTTCACAGTGAACATTTCTCCTTTCTCCTGAAGATTTCCACCTCACATTTCAGGTTGCCCTCTCTGTATTGTATTGAGGTGCTTTAGGTACAACTGTCAATCTCCAATCACCCGAAGTATACAATATTCCTTGTCTATATCTTATATTAACAATATAACATTATATCCTTTGAACTATTGAGCAATTGCCAAACTGGTTCACCCTCTGCTATTGCCTATGTAGATATTTGCAACAATAAATATTTTCCTCAAGAAACAAACTTTAGTGAAGATGCTAAGGATATCAAATCCTTGATTTTATCTACTCTCATATTATGTTTTATTAATCTCATATCTCATATTCTATTGAAACTAAGCAAATTTCTTCCTCACTTCATTTCTTTGTCCTTCTGCTAATAGTACCACCAGCTCTTCCAGAATTAAAGTTCCTGTCTTCAATACCTTCCTGTCCACTGCTTATTCCTTTCAGCCTGTACTAAATTCAAGTCTTTCCCACTCTTAAATAGGGTAGAAACAAAACAGTCCTTTCTTGATGACAGGATCACTTCTGGAAACCACACTATGTTAGCCTTTGCTTCTGTGATATCTTCAGATATTTAAACACAGTTTTCCCTTAGTCTTCTATAATTTAGTCTAATAAAGTAAAATTCACTGGAATTTCCCTTGCTGATGTCATCCTTGGTCTCGAAATTTGCCAGTTTTAACTGACACTTTTAGGTCTTATACTATTTGTAACCTTGCCTTATTTGATTTGTTGTTATCATGTATGTCTTCCTGAAATGTTCTTATCTCTTGTATCTCACAACTCTATTCTTTGCTGTTCTTTCTTACTTCCCATTCTTACTGCTCACTCTGTGTCCTCTTCTGTTTCCTCTTCTCTTACCTATTTTTGCTAATCATTCTTTCTCAGGTTTAATTTTTCCTCACTCTGTTTCATTTCTCCAGTTGATCTCATCCACTCCTCTTGCTTCCAGGAAATGAAGACTCCCAAATCTATACTTCAAGTTCAAGACTATCTGCAGAGATCTATCACCTGTGTTCTGTGTATTAGGTATTGCTATTAGATGATTTTGTCCCAGACTGAAGTCGTCATCTTCATCAACACTTCATAATAAATACAAACCACACAAATTCAAACAAAAAAATACATATTAGATCACTTTTCTTTTGGTTAAAAGTCACTCACTCTAAAGGCATTTAGGCTATAAACATTAGTTCTCTGGGCTCTTTCTTCACCTACATTCTTCATGTTCAAAGTGTTCATTAAGATTTATTTAGTCGGACCTGGTGGCTCAACCTGTAATCCCAGTACTTT